TGTCATTTACATTGAAGTTCTCATTAAAATTGAATTTCATTTACAAATAAGAAACTCATTATAAGAATAAAGCAAATGATGAGTTGATTTCAAGAGAAAGAGATAATTTGCTTTATTATTATTATTATGGTTGAAGTGAATCTCAATTATTAATTTATCACACATTTATACATTTATCTGTGAGAAAAAACATTTCTATCATTGAATGTAAAGCAATATATACAGTATATTTTTATTTCTCACACCACTTATTATATGATTAGTTTATTAAAATGATATAAAATCATTTTAAATAAAAGTTTTAATTAAGATATAACTTTTTTAAATACAACCTATAATGTTGGAAATGTTATACTAAATTAGTGATTAATGCATACAAAATGAATCATTAAATTAATGGTAATATGAAATCTTATAGGAAAGGAAGTGAATCAATAAAATATGATAACAGAGTAAAGATTGAAACATATTGTATAATAAAAATCTTTGATTTTTATCCTTAATTCTCATTACTTATTATTAGACACATCAAACAAAAACTTTTTTAAAAATAAATCAAAGTATTTTACATTTGAATATATTAATATAATTAGTGAATATTCAGTATACGTTACGCTAACCTTTAATTTTGTTTATATAATATTATGCAATTTATAAGTTTTAAACACCACTAAAACTTGATTATTCATAACCAAGTGATATAAATACGGCCATAAACCTCAAACTTCTTATTTTATCAATATTATTTTTGAGATAAAATAGCGCCTAATCTGTTGTCGGATCTGTTTGTTGCTGAAAGGAAGGGCATTATTGGGTAAAGTAGTGTTACTTCATGTTTATAACATCATAACATTATTACTATTAATATAGTAATTTATATAAAATTTGTGTTCACTTTATTTATTAAATTCATATTAAAATACGCTGCATGCTACAAAGTATTGACAAAAAACAACAAAATAGTCCACAGAATCATATTATTGAGTGTTAAAAGTTTAACTCTATAATAGAGGGGGAAAATTACACCTGGTTCATACATTTAGATCAATGATAATTAATTGAACAACTAAATTTATTAATTTAAATCTATTTCTATAAATAATATTAATGAAATAAAAATTTGCCTCTAATTTCACTAAGTTTAAAAGATAATAAATTACTTTCAAAATCATTAGATATTGATAATTATATTTTATATTCAGTATCGCAATAAAAAATTTTGGAAACAGTATTTATAATATTTTTATACAATCTTACTTAAATTAATTATAAACCGTAAATAACTAAATATCATCAACAAATTAAAAAATATATCTTAATATTCTGATAAAAATAAGTATATTAAAAATATATTTTAAAAACTTTGTACGTCTAATATAGTATTGATAAATTGTGATATAACATTGTAATACAGTACTCACTTTCTAAATAAAATAATTATTTTAATTATAAAAATCTTTTAATAATACAACACTAATCAGTAATAATTGTTTGCTTTTGTCGGCATTTGTTTGTAGTGAAGTACAGTATAGTCTCTNCTTAACTAACGTTTAATGAAATTAACGGTAAACACTAATTAATGGACAAAAGTTTAAATCAAATGCAAAATTTTTAAGCCATTTATATGATTTGTGCCTAAAATATATAATTTGGATATTGATTTTAATTATTATTAATTTAATTTGTAAATAACAAATACAAAACAAATTTTTAAAACATTTTCAATTGTATGTAAAATCAATGAAATAGTTAACTAAATAAATAAATAAAATTTTTATTTGTATTAAAATCATATTGTTTCCGATGAATAACACTTTGAAATACTGTATAAATATACGATAAACAGGATTTATTTTCTCTAATTTGTCATAAAAATAATGACCGATAATTAAAAATATAAGTTCATTATAACGGATACTACTCCAGTACCAATAACTTATTTTTTGTCTTTTTTAAAGTAAATAATCAAATATCAGGATTATAAATTAAAAAGTTATACAATATTCATTTTGCACCAGTGTTATTGCATACAGAGTATTAACACTAAGTACCCATAAGTACTAACAAGTAAAATGTCATTTACATTGAAGTTCTCATTAAAATTGAATTTCATTTACAAATAAGAAACTCATTATAAGAATAAAGCAAATGATGAGTTGATTTCAAGAGAAAGAGATAATTTGCTTTATTATTATTATTACTGTATTATGATTGAAGTGAATCTCAATTATTAATTTATCACACATTTATACATTTATCTGTGAGAAAAAACATTTCTATTATTGAATGTAAAGCAATATATACAGTATATTTTTATTTCTCACACCACTTATTATATGATTATTTTATTAAAGCGATATAAAATCATTTTAAATAAAAGTTTTAATTAAGATATAACTTTTTAAATACAACCTATAATGTTGGAAATGTTATACTAAATTAGTGATTAATGCATACAAAATGAATCATTAAATTAATGGTAATATGAAATCTTATAGTTGTTATAACGGAAAGGAAGTGAATCAATAAAATATGATAACAGAGTAAAGATTGAAACATATTGTATAATAAAAATAGAAATCTTTGATTTTTATCCTTAATTCTCATTACTTATTATTAGACACATCAAACAAAAACCTTTTTAAAAATAAATCAAAGGATTTTACATTTGAATATATTAATATAATTAGTGAATATTCAGTATAAGTTACGCTAACCTTTAATTTTGTTTATATAATATTAACGTTAAATATTCAAAATTTGTGGTGATTTTGAACTAATAAGTATTGGTTCACTATATTTATGCCGGTATTTGGAGTTTGAAGAATAAAATTCAATATTATTTTTGAGATAAAATAGCGCCTAATCTTGTGTCGGATCTGTTTGTTGCTGAAAGGAAGGGCATTATTGGGTAAAGTAGTGTTACTTCATGTTTATAACATCATGATATTATTACTATTAATATAATAATTTATATAAAATTTGTGTTCACTTTATTTAATGAGTGAAATTCATATTAAAATACGCTGCATGCTACAAAGTATTGACAAAAAACAACAAAATAGTCCACAGAATCATATTATTGAGTGTTAAAAGTTTAACTCTGTAATAGAGGGGGAAAATTACACCTGGTTCATACATTTAGATCAATGATAATTAGTTGAACAACTAAATTTATTAATTTAAATTTATTTCTATAATTAATATTAATGAAATAAAAATTTACCCTAATTTCACTAAGTTTAAAAGATAATAAATTACTTTAAAAATCATTAGATATTGATAATTATATTTTATATTCAGATCGCAATAAAAAATTTTGGAAACAGTATTTATAATATTTTTATACAATTTTACTTAAATTAATTATAAACCGTAAATAACTAAATATCATCAACAAATTAAAAAATTTATCTTAATATTCTGATAAAATTAGTATATTAAAATTAAATTCTGATAAAAAAAGTCTGGATTTTTATATAAAATTTTTGAAACATGCAGATTATATCATAACTATTTAACACTATATTGTAACATTATGTCATGAGTGAAAGATTTATTTTATTAATAAAATTAATATTTTTAGAAAATTATTATGAACACTAATCAGTAATAATTGTTTGCTTTTGTCGGCATTTGTTTGTAGTGAAGTACAGTATAGTCTCTACTTTAAAAATACGGTATAACATACACTATATTAACCATATTTACAGTATATTAATATTTTCACGCGTTTTGACAAATACTTCAAACAACAGATGAGGGAGTAGTCGGAGAGTGGAGAGGGATGTGAGGGGGAGGGCTCTCTCTCACACACCTGTCGCTATACCTATTATTAACAAACATATTAAAGTAATACAAAATCTGTGGCTTTTTTAGACTCGTGTCTTAATGTAACATAAGTATCCTTATGTTATTAGATAGCAAAGTTTTATTACACGAAATGTGTGACACAAATGTGTTAAGACTTTGTGAGAGAACGCCGGCAGACTGTTTGGTGTTAATTCTTATATAAACTTTCTTATAGACTGTTTGGTTCCGGTGCTGTTCAGTGTATTATTTGCTTTTCATATTTAAATGACAAAAATTGCTGTGATTTTAGTGTACATTTAAATTGAATCACAAAAATGGCAAACAAGAGGACACATCATCGCAGGGCTAATGAACACACATTGAACTGGTATTTCACACAAAGTTTGAATTATAAAAAAGTTTATTTACTCATAACTTGCTTACAACTGAAGGCTTGATTCAAATTATGAGATCAAAGAGGGTATATGTCTACCCCGGTGTTTATTATATCAACACTATTTGGATTATGTACGGCGAAAGTCAAGCAAACCTATCGGTGCCGCGGCTTTCGGTAAAGTAAGTGTCGCTTTTTCATGCCATCATTTTTGCTTATTATCTCAGAGAGAGAGTGTGTGGACAGCGATATGGATAATAATTGTTTGTATAATTTCATTATGTTTTAGACACCGAAAAAATCTGAGCACAGAATTACATTGTATTCATAGGAATACAATAATCTATCGTTTCGTTTATTACACGAAATGTGTGACACAAATGTGTTAAGACTTTGTGAGAGAGCGCCGGCAGACTGTTTGGTGTGAATTCTTATATAAACTTTCTTATAGACTGTTTGGTTCCGGTGCTGTTCAGCGTATTATTTGCTTTTCATATTTAAATGACAAAAATTCATGTGATTTTAATTGAATCACAAAAATGGCAAACAAGAGGACACATCATCGCAGGGCTAATGAACACACATTGAACTGGTATTTCACACAAAGTTTGAATTATAAAAAAAGTTTATTTACTCATAACTTGCTTACAACTGAAGGCTTGATTCAAATTATGAGATCAAAGAGGGTATATGTCTTGGGGCCACAAATAATATAGTTGTGATAAACCTAATACATGCCGCTTTCAGTTCGTTTGGATAGCCACGGCGCCGAAAGCCATTTCATTCACAGCGAAAAAGTACGGTAGTAAAAACGAATAATAGAGAATTAACTTAACTTGTAATTCAAATTCAATTCATAAATCTAATGTAACTTATAGTTAGTGCGACAAAAGTTTCCCAAAATCACAACCAGACGACTGGGAACGAGGGGTCAGTCGAAGTATCATTACTATGGGGTCGGCATCAAGAAGTCGTCCATTTATTTTGCTGATGAAAAACAAGTACAAAATCAGAATAAAATTCAAAACAGGTATTAATCTTATGCCACAAAATTACTGGCTTATTTTTGGTTAATAGTTACAATCTGATGTGTATTAAACAGAGTAATAAGCAAGGACAAAGTGCGAAACATTAAAAGTAGTAAAATGTCTGGAAATGTGCGCAAATCGGTGGTGCGGGCGCTGAAGACGGCCACTCAAGTGATGCCCCAATTGGTGTCAATTAAGCCACATCTCAGACACTTCCCGCGCGCTTCAGATTAACAGTATGGAAAACTCTATGTTTCTCTGTTTAACAGCTGTAAAGAGTAATACATATCTTCAGTAACAGTTGCGTAAAACCTGTGGAAACACCAGCGGTTGTGGCTACTTCAGTTGTTTATAAACAGTCATTTCTGGACAGGAATTCCGCACCATTTGATGGATTTGTTAGAAAATGAGTTTATGGTTAATGTCATTGAATGCGCCGATTCTGTGCTCTATTCCGTAAGTCATTTTCAAAAAAAAATTATTCTAAGTTTTAACAAAATAATTAAAAAAAGTAATTTTAATTATTTAGTTACTTATAACTTATATGAATATTACATATTAATCTATAAAATAATAAATTCATTTTAAGAATACTTTTAAAATTTTTAGCACTTAATTATTAGACTTATAAAACAAAGTTATAATTACTGTAGTGTAACTGTACTCATTGATATTTAACATTTACTTTCTGATGAAATATATAGAAAAGTCTAGAAAATAATCAAATTGCACTAATAATCAAATTGTAAATTATTTGTTTTAGTAGTTTAAAACATTTAAGTACTTCTTAATTGACAGTGAGAAAATGTCACAATTTTCAGTAACTGTTATAAAAGGATTTAATGAATCTTTGAGATTTATAGTCATTTTTAGTACAAATAGTACAAAGCTCAACAATAGTGAGCTTACAATGCACTAAATGCACTGGGTATAAATTTAAAATACAAGATATGTTTTATTTTGTACAAATATCTACACAATTTATGAAGATCTATTAATTTCATTATAATAAATATTAAAATATTTTTTGCTTATGTTAAAAATTACTATTAGCACTGATAGGCACTGATTGAGATTGTCATACCTTTTGAGATACAAAGAGACAAATTGTCGACATTTCTCATTATGTATAGAAGTCATTGTCAACGCATTTTGGACACCTTTGTGGTCGCCAACACCGATGAAGTCAACAAATATTTGTCACATTTTTGGACAGGAATTCCGCACCATTTGATGGATTTGTTAGAAAATGAGTTTATGGTTAATGTCATTGAATGCGCCGATTCTGTGCTCTATTCCGTAAGTCTTTTTCAAAAAAAAAATTATTCTAAGTTTTAACAAAATAATTAAAAAAAGTAATTTTAATTATTTAGTTACTTATAACTTATATGAATATTACATATTAATCTATAAAATAATAAATTCCTTTTAAGAATACTTTTAAAATTTTTAGCACTTAATTATTAGACTTATAAAACAAAGTTATAATTACTGTAATGTAACTGTACTCATTGATATTTAATATTTACTTTCTGATGAAATATATAGAAAAGTCTAGAAAATAATCAAATTGCACTAATAATCAAATTGTAAATTATTTGTTTTAGTAGTTTAAAACAGTTAAGTACTTCTTAATTGACATTGAGAAAATGTCACAATTTTCAGTAACTGTTATAAAAGGATTTAATGTATCTTTGAGATTTATAGTCATTTTTAGTACAAATAGTACAAAGCTTAACAATAGTGAGCTTACAATGCACTAAATGCACTGGGTATAAATTTAAAATACAGGATATGTTTTATTTTGTACAAATATCTACACAATTTATGAAGATCTATTAATTTCATTATAATAAATATTAAAATATTTTTTGCTTATGTTAAAAATTACTATTAGCACTGATAGGCACTGATTGAGTTTAAAAGCAGCCTTATAAACAATCGTTGGTTACAGGTCCAACTAAAATTAATAATTTGGTTAACTCTGTGAGAAATCTGTAAAATATCATTAAATTTGACTTAATTACTAAAAAGGCTATCGAGGATGCATTGAGTCCGAAATCATTGTATGAATTGCCGGAACAGTTCACACAAGAATTGATAAGAATATTGAATTTGATGCCCAAATGGATCGAGCAGTCAATGGTAGTGCTGTCCACTCATATAATGAACAAAAAGCTGGAAGTATTGCAACAGTTTTCAGCCGCTATTAGACGACAGCTTTCATTCTTACAATTAGTGAAAGTATGTCTTCAATCAGCAATTTGTCATCAAATATGTCTAATAATTGTCATGTTTTGTGACTAGAGCTGCAAAATAGTGATCCAACAACAGGAAAATGTTTCGCTTATGTGTCGCGAAATCAAATGCATAGAAACCCAAGAGATTTGGTCCCAAATTGTGACCCTTTTGTCGGACAACAGTGTGTTAACCGAAAGCATTCATAAGTCGTTTTGTGATCTCATTCATAGCATCAGTCAAGACATCAATTTTGAATATCTCACCGATTGGGTCAACACTATTGTCGACAAATATGTGGTTAATGTGAGTGCTATTTAAAATATTTATTATTAAGCTTGAACACATATTACATGAATCTGCTAATTTAATTACCAGAAATATAATATATTTTTAGCTTAACAAGTGTTTGAAATGATTATACAATTATATCAATACTATCGATATAACTAATTTCATTAGAATATTGTCATTTGAATCTATAGTAATGTTGGTATAAATAGCATAAAACACGAATGAGTTTAATATGAATCGGAAACAATTTATCTGAAATATCATTTTATCAGATAAATAATAATAATAATAATAATAATAATAATGTTTAATAATGTTTGAAATAATACGGCAAATCTAATCAGTTTGTGATTTATAGGGGAAATACGCGTGTTTGACAAGTAGGGCGAGTCAACTGGTGTTTGCTCTGGGTACATACCTATCCGGTATAATACGTGATCTAACATTAAATAATGCCAAAAGTTTTGGTGAGCAATACTTTACTTAACTTTACACCAACAAAATATTAATTCAATTATTCATTCATAATATTATTCACTAATATTTTGATAAGAATAATAAATATTATTTATTTGTCGTAAAAATTATTAATATTTTTTATAAGCCATTAATATCTTAATCCTTGAACTTATTATTTGCCATATTTATTACTAGTGAAAGAATATATTCTTACAATCATTGTATTAGTCACTGAATTATCAAAAATAATATTATTCTATATGATTGTAAATTATTGCAAACAATACTATAATCATTATAGTATAATGAATATATTTACCATTTGTACTTTTCACATAGAATTATACTTTTATAGGCTAATACCGGTATATGAAATACATGGGAAATTATTTTCTAATAATAAATTGCATATTTTGTTTGTTTTTTTAATGAATAGGTTTTTGGCATTTATTGTTTGTAACACTAGAAGAATACACATTATTAACGGTTTGTCGTTCAATACGACACGAATCGCAATCAGTGAGACGACTGACTATTATGAAGCAACCGCTCAATAATAGTCAACATAATATTAATAACAATTATAATAATGGTCTGTATTATTAATACCAAGTTATTTAGTAATGTATTTCAATTATGAGAATATTTTAGATGAATAAATATAATATTATATCATATCTACTGACTCATAGACTTACATATGCTTTAGAAAATCAATCTTACATTTGTTAAGGTTTTTCATTAATATTGTATTATTTTCTGACGCCTACAGGAATATCCCAAATCACACCATCCCTCCCACCTATAGCTGTAGACAACTGCCAGCAACAGTACAATGATATCAATCAGTGGATGTCATTACATTGCCATCAATGGGATCAATATAGTGATGATTATTTACAGAACTATTCCTCCACTTCTGCCACATATGCATGGAATGACTCACAATATGTTGATTGTATGAACGATCAGTTTATGGTCAACACTAACCACACCATTACATCCAATGGCAATGTCTATACCTGTCTCTCATAAACATAATATTAGTTTAAACAAAATATTTTTGATTTAATGTTGAAATATTTCTTGAGTTACAAACACAAAAGTTTTTATTTAAATAAATTCTTAATAATCTTTGAATACACTAAATGAATTATAAGATTATCTGTATATACAAAATTAGGTTTCAAACAAAATACACTAATTTTAAGAATAAAATATTAGTAAAAAATTGCATTTTATACTGAAGTTCTGTATGCTAATACATTCAATTTTATTCTTATCATATGACTGTTAGAATAATATTTATGTTCATGTGTTTAATACAATTAAAGTGTTTTATAGAATATACAGAATATCATATTAATTGATACAATCATAAAACTCGTGTCCATTAACGCCGGATAACTCATCAATGGTCTGTTCGCTCACCACTTGTTGCTGTTGTGGTATTAAGACAGACAACTGGCCGGATGTCGTACACAACTGCTGCCCATCATTGGATGTATGGGTTGTTTGTTGCTCATCAAACTCATACATAGAATTCATGTTTGCTGAATACCAGGGATAGTTTGTCGAGTTATGTCGTTGAACCTGATGCTCTATATACACAACTGCTGCCCATCATTGGATGTATGAGTTGTTTGTTGCTCATCAAACTCATACATAGAATTCATGTTTGCTGAATACCAGGGATAGTTTGTCGAGTTATGTCGTTGAACCTGATGCTCTATATTTGTGCCATATATTGCGCTTTATTACAAAAGAACCATGCTTATTATATTATATTTTAAATTTTATTTTATTTATACCTCTGGTTTGTATATGAATTAAATGAATTTTGCGATGCATTAGTATATGGTATATAAGCATGCTCATTCTGAGTGCCACTGCTGTCTACCGATTGCGAGCCAATCATCTCATGGTTTTGGTTATCCGTGAGTCCGAAGTCACCGGTACTGCTGCTCACTGTAGGCTCATATTCTAACGGTGCTGATGGACTCGTATCTTGACTGCACATCATCTCAGTGTCTGATCCCAAATAAATTATATCCAAAATATTTATTCATAAAAATATTTAAATTCTCTTATATACTGTATAAAGTTAACAAATAAATGTATGTACCGTTAAAATAAAAGACTGTGAAAACTGGCGGTTCGTTATTAGGTATGAGTTTAAGAAATTGTTTCATCTGCTCGTCCAACTGGACGTATTCAATGAGGTATAGCACGTAGTCGTCAAACATTAGTCGCAACAAATGGAAAGAGCCTTCAAATGCATATAAAATCATATGATTTGTAAATTTTGTTCATTTATGACACAATGAAAGGTTTACCAAAACTCTGAGCGCTGTGTAAAGTCATGTCACGGATAACACGCGATGCAAACGCCGACCAAAGGAGCAGAAAGTGTCGCGAATAGCGTCGGACTGTCGACGAGTGGGTGCTGTTCACACTCGGCTGATGGAGGGAACGGGAGTTAATTTAAAAAAGTTTAATTAGAATAAAATACTGACAAAAATGACACATTTATGGACGAGTGACTCCAACCACTCCAAGTAGTTCTCGATCTGCGCCTCCTCTTCCAGCAAATGCTCAAATTGTTCACAAACTGATCCACCAAATAGTCATACAATACATGAAAATCTATATTAATTTCCTATTTAAGGATAATTTATACATACATTTTGTAATTAAGTTTATTGTTGAGCAACAGGGGTCGGCCCCGTTATCCATAACTGCACTGCCATTGCTTCCATTACTACTACTGGTGCTGGAAGTGCTACTGTGACCACTGGTAGTACCGGCCGTATAGTTATTATCGGCATTAAAATAATCGCATAATATTTCGCGACAAATGTTTTGCACGTCTATTAGACGCCAATCTCTAAGCATTTGAATAGTGATCTCATTATTATTGACAACCATTCGCGAGGCCTGAGACAAGTGGTTGAGCGATGTCTGGCGTTTGAGTACCTGACCAAAACGTCGGGCCAACTCTAACTTTACGGATCGCAAGGTTTCGGGCAAATTATATAAAGACATCCGCAGCCAACTGTCCAATTCCGAGGCGAACTGTCGCATCATTTTTGTCAAACTTTTTTATTTGAATAAAATATCTTAAAATTTTGGGAGTTTTGCGTGTATTTTGTGGTTACCTTTCGGGCAGTGTTTGCAATACAGAGGGAAGCAATACATTAGCAATGGTTTTGTAGAGTATTGTATCGCAAACGCCGATCAGATTGACCACAGAATTGCACTCAAGTATAGAGGAGAGGTGTGTCGGCACGCCCTGCCAGAAGTGTAACAGAAATGTCTGCACCTCATCGAAATTGGCCCTGATTATTGTGTCCAGAATGCGCTGGCAATGTGTTCTGTACATCATTAAAAATGTTGAGATCTGCCGTATATTTCAATTATAAACAAATGGATTACAAATTTTAATAGATGTGACGATAATAGGAATAATCTGCTAATTAATATTGCTTAATATAGATTAGCATGAAATACCTTATCCCTGTCCACTGAATTTTGTAGGACAACATCCTTAATATTGGGGAACTGTGGCAGCATGGTTGCCGTCCGGGTTCTCGAGTTAATTGCTGTCGATATTGTCTTAAATACAAATTACGGTACATATATTTGAATAAATTTACATTTAAACCTAATATTTATTACCTGTTTTGTAATGTTTTCCCGGGCCTCACGTTTCAATGGATCCACATTACTATTTAAATAGTCCGTTAGATGTTCATTCACATATTTTATATATTTATAAATCAGTGCTACAGAATATTTTTACTGCCTTGCAATTAAAATTATATTTAATAATACTGAAATATTTTTATCCAAAAAAAGAATTTAATTAAATAAAAATAATTTAGCTATCTAATTAAATTAGATATAAAATGTATTTTAGCGTTTTTTGTCTAAACAAAATTTTTATTGCTCACTAATTGCAAAGAATTTTTAATTTTAGACATTTATTTGCAACCATTAATTAGATTTTAATGAATGTCTCAAACTTTGAAATTAGACAAAAAATTAATTCTTTATTTCATATACTTATAAATGTCTG